ATTGAGTCACATCCCCAGCCCTTTTTAAATTTTGAGACAGGGTCTTACAGAGTTGCTGAGGCTAACTTTGAAGTTCTGATGCTCCTGCTTCCATCTCCCAAACTGCTGGGATTACAGGTGTGCACCGCTGCACTGGCTTCAATGTTTTTATTAGTGCATTATAGTTATACGTTACTGTGGGGTTCGTTTTGACACAACCATACATGCATGGAATGTAGTTTTCTCCATTTCAGTCCATGCTTTCTCTTTTCCTCCCTGGCCCTGTTCCCTTTCCTCAACTCTCTGGCCGTCTTTCTATTTGTTATTTTCTTCATTCTTTACTTCTCTTTAGATTGGCTTTCTTTGATTTTCTATCCTCATGGTGAAAGTTGGTTGTCCCAAAGAATTTACATGTTCTCCCTTACGTTAAACAGCAAAGTCTGTATTCCCCTAACACAACCCTGAGAAAAAGAATCTGGTTAAGTCATTGAAGTTGGCTGTCTCCCTGGTGGATATCTTTACTGTGACTGAGAGGGTGGTATCACAGGGTATAAGCATGACTACTGGAGTCTACCATATGGTTGGGACCACCAGTTCTTACATAAAGAGAGGGTTTCGTAAACTGGGAAGTTTCTTGAAAGGAATCTGCCACATTAAGTACCAAGGAATGTCTTGAGTGTTTAAATGAGGAGTTACTTGGACAAACGGAGAGACTGAGAGCAGGAGATTTGTTAATGCTAAGCCTATAAATGCCATATTCAGCTTTAGGAAACTACATGTATAACCATAAGCAGCCACAAGATTAGGTGATGAATGGAGAATTCCTTCGGAATGGTTTTGCCAATATTATACTAAGTTATGTATCTCAGAATTTTGGCCCTACTTTTATATCAATGAGATTTCTGACTAGTATCGTGGCAACTGCTAATCATATATTATAGAAGAGGTGCCTAATGACTTCAATTTTTATGTTTTAAAGCATTATATATCATTGCTTTGACTAGAGAGCCATCTAACCTATCAGGTAGGTTCTCAAGAAATATCATGATATCACTGGAATATATAGTTTCTCAAGTACTTCCTGTGTCATTGTGTTTTTTGTCTTTAATTTCACAAATTAAAGACTTCAAAGTTAAATTTAAAACACCCATGAACTTTGGATTTTGTTTCGTAACCTTGACCAACAAGAAATTATAATTTCAGGTACTTACAAGTAGAAAATAAATTAGTGCCTGCATTAATGAAGCAATTTGGAGCCAGTAGGAATGTGGGATTATCTTCTGTAGATTTTTTGTTGACAGGATGTATTTTATGTCATGTGTAATGCTCTTTGTCATAAGTAATTTTTCACAGGCAAATGACAATCTGTACAGTTTGTTTCCTTTTATAAAAATGGAAATATGGACTCATGGATATATGCTTAAAATATTCTGTCCAATTTGGAAGATATAGTATATTATTTATCCTATTGTAGAATCACCACAAAATTATACAGTTATATTCTTTCTATGTATGTATATATGTGTGTGTGTGTGTGTGTATCTATACTAGGGTTTGAACCCAGGCATTGATTATGCAAAGCACACACACTACCACAAAACTACTCTCCCAGCCTCTAGTTTTATTTTAATGAGTCATTATGCTTGTGTTACAATTTCATAGTGAAAGATATAGTCTAATTTAGGCAAATTTCAAACAGTTTAGAAATAGGGGCTTTTTTATTCTTGTAGATATTTTAATATATGCCTTTACCAATATGGGTATCAAAACAAAACATTACCTCATTTTTAAAGCAGCTAGTGGTAAATGGTATTAGGAAAAAGAGGCTAACACAATACAACAAACATTGCAACTATTTAACCTATGGTAACTTTTATATGTATTATAGATTTTTGTACCAAGGACTAATTTGCAGGGTTCTTTCTACTTTGGAGACTCCAACTTGAGTACCACTATATATACATTAGGTTTCTTTTCCTTTTTTAAATTCAGCATTTCACTATTTCCTTTTGATTTACTAGTATGATACATGGGTGTGTTGGGGAAAATGAAGAAATATAGCGTTTTAAGGAATGTTTAAGACTAACACCATTAGGCAGTTTTTGATGGATACTGTTTGAACAATGTAAAATAGTGGTAGTTTAGGAGTTCAGAAAGGGGAACAGCTGACCTAGAATGGCCCATGAATAATTTGTTGAAGTGAAAATGTTAAAGGTGTCCTTAGAGAGTGTTTTTTTTTTTTTTAAATTTTTGGAGTGTAGAGTGGGGGAGGGGATTTACTTAGGGGAGAGCATAATCTAGACCAGGCTTTCCAGAAATTAAGATGCCAGATGTATTCAGAGAATAATTATGTGAGTTTGATTGGAGTTTTGGCTTCATTTTGGGGAGAATAAGATACAATTGGAGATATATATTGAAGTGATGCAATGCATATCCTTGTGTGATGACAGCAGCAATGTGTTAGGATTGTCAATCTGTTGATGGTGTTTGGGAAGGAGTGGAGCTGTAGGAGATGGGAGTCAGAAACTTAAATGAGGAAAACTACCTGAGTTGAACTAAATTAGCTGTTGGCAGAATGGACCTGAAGCTGCATACGAATAGTTGAGAGTCATTAATAGACTGAGTGACTAACTCCTTAATGGGCTCAAAGGATAAGAGAATGTATCAAAAGATGTTTCTGAAGTTTTAAACTCAGAGACAAGTGAGAAAATGAAACTACATAGATTAAAAATGATGGCAGAAGGAATTCCTGGTTGTACTGGAAAATGATTTAAATTTTAGGGAAGTTGATTTTATCAGTGGAATATATGAATATATCAAGCATGCAGTTACAAATGTGGGATTGAAGTTTGGGAGACAAATCAGGAATAGGTCACATAAGGTAAAGGAGACAATATTTGTGAAGACTGCTCTTCAAAGTTTGGGACCAAAATTCAACAGGGAGTTAAAATTGCAGATAGTGTATAAGGGTAAAAGTAGGAATTGTGTTTCTAGATAGAGAAGCCAGTGGATACAAATATACCAACAGTACTGCAAGGCAGTAATTCAGGGGACTTTATTGATATGGAGAATAAGATCTTTAAAAAGTGATCTTAAAATAACTGAGAAGAAAAGTGATCTTAAAATAACTGGGTTTTGAGAATGTTGGTTAGTTATGCTCTTGTCAGTAACTGTTTTATTGTACAAGGTCATCTTTTGTGTTCTATGATGTTAAGTATGTTAGAAGAATTACTTGGTATTGTATTTTCATGCTTGAGTAGAAACATCTTTCTGCCATGTGGATGTTAAAACAAACACTGGAATGAAACAGTACAGTTGTGGACATCTTTCTAGACTATATCAATTTGAAGTTATTTTATAGTTTTTTTTATTTATTTTTTTTTAGTTTTCCTGTGTTCACAGTGCTGAAAATCTGAACTGTGGCACATCAGGGCCAAATCTACAACATAATTGTGTCCTTCAGTTGAATTGTTAGTAGAGACTCCACTTCTCCCTGACTGTTGAAAGTTTGGGTGACATATTAACAGGGATAGTGTTTGTCTTGATATTTTTTCATCAGTATGTTGAATAATACTTCAATGACTTCATAAATAATTTTTTAAAAAATTGACCTGTTAACATATCGTGTGTTTTCCCAGTGCAAATTTTATTATACAGAGACTGAAATACATATAAACTGATGTTATCGATAGTTCATATAACCTTGGAACAAATAGAGTGTCATAGTTAACAGTATAGGCTTGGGAGTCAATTTAACCAGGCTGAAAGTCTGGCCTATTATTCTATAATTATAAGACATTAGACTGATTTCTGCATACCACTAATTCTGTTTCTTCATTTCCAAAATATTGATAAGAATTCTAATTTCACTTATTTGAGGTTCAAATTAGAGGTAATGTTTTAAAAATTTCTCATGTTTGCTAAGTTCTGGGGAATGTAAGTTTATGATAGGGATATAATTGCTTTAAAACTTATACTATCCTGTACATAGGATGCTTCATAAATCTTTGATAACAAGGGTTGAAGTAGACCTAAAACCTTTCTTGCATAAATAAATAAATGAATAGTTAGATGGCATCTTCAGTCTCTGACAAACTTTTATTTAACTCATGCTTGCCTACCTCTGTCTTACTTGGGTATCTTAAAGTTTTAAGTGTGATAAGAGGATATGAAAGTGAGTTTACATGTTTTCTGCCCAAGGTAGCTTCTAAGGAACAACAGTGTTTTCTCTTCTGGATTTGTTATGTTCTTTCACAACAGTGGGAACTCTTTAGAATCTGGTCTTAGATATTATATAAAAACTGATTCTAGCCCATACACCAACCTACTGCAAGTTGATTTGATAAACAGGAACTGTTGGCAGTAGTTGCTCTAAAACCTAGTTGCTTTTCTTCCCAGTGAGCAGTAGTTCTGGACTAGTAAGAGTTTAAGACCTCTTAGCTTCCTTTAGCCTCTCTTCCTACCTCCCCTTGGTAGGTTTTTTGGAGGATTATGTATGATGCTGACAGAGTGAGGGGCAAGAACACAGACTCTGGAATTAAAACATCAGAGACCACTTTGCAGCTCGTGAACCTTTCTTAGTCTATTTTCTTTGTCAATGCCCTGTGAACTTCCCTGATAAAATTTTGTAATTTCATTTACTATAAATGAAATAAGTAAATATTAATGAATTAGCACCTAGCCTACAGCATTGTAAGCTCTCAGTAAATATTAAGACATTGCTTCTAAGGTTGCTGTAGTTCAGAATAATGAGGATTAAATTACAATTAAAGAAGACTGATTCAATCATCACAGTTCCTGAAGAATAGTAGACACTAAATAAAATTGTTCTCTTTACCCCCATGTGCAAATGCCCATCCTTCCTTGTTACCTGTAAATAGGCAACAAGTAGATGACTTTCTGGCTAATGAATCTTTCATCAGATCTCCAATTAGAAAAATGGATAGCCACCTTAGTATACTTCTGAATGTCAAGGATGAGTTATAGGTATACAAATTACACTGTTTTATCTGGTTATACAGATGCTGTTGACTGAGTACTTGGATATGAAGAATACTCGCACTGCCTCTGAACCATCAGCTCAATTAAGCTATGCCAGTTCTGGACGAGAGTTTGCAGCCTTTTTTGCCAAGAAGAAACCTCAAAGACCGAAAAATTCCCTTTTCAAGTAAGTATGATGCCAGTAAGATAGCAAAGTTTCTAGAAGAGTTCTATCCAAGTAAGATGACTTGCTATTTTACTGACAACCATTACTTTCTCTAACTGAAGTTGAAGTATTTTATAAGAAACAAATATTTGATTTTTTTTTTTAACCTTTGTTTTCTATAAGGGAAAGTGGCTGTTCCAGATTATAGTCACTGGACTATTTAGAACTCTTAATAAAAATTTCTTAAATTTGTTTCTGGAGCGTTTATATAAAATTAAGGGAAATTAAAGGAAATGAAACATACCAGCTTTGAAAAAGCCCCCATGTGCCAAGAAATAGCCTTTTATAACTCTCTCTAGCAAAGCAGTGTTGGACATTATGAGGTTAGATGTTTAATGAAGGAACAGTCTGAAAAGTAGTTTGGTTTGTAAAAAAATATTTTTGGTTATACTTGGACACAATACCATTATTTTATTAATATATTTCATGTTGTGCTGAGGATCAAACATAGTGCCTCACACATGCTAGGTGAACCCTGTATTGCTGAGCCACAACCCCAACCCTGTTTTTTTTTTTTTTTTTGCAAAATAATCAAGATTTATCTTTATTTCCTGAATTTAAATCTCTCATTTTCCCCTTTTACTTGTTACATTTGAGCAAAATATTTATCCATTCTAAAGCATCAATTTAATTTACTGAAAAAAATGTAAATGGTAAATATACTTAATTACATAACATGATTTAAGGGATAAATAAAATATCTATAAAACTTTTATAAGCTTAACTCAAAAGATGCTAGTTTATATCCTAACTTAGTATTAATAAAACTGAATGAAGTTCAATGAAGATAAATTGCTTGGTTCTGGTCACACAGTTTATACACATATAAGCAAAATTTGGTTTTAGATTTTGATTGAATGGTATTACCTGAATATACATACCTTTTAAACCAAAGTATATGGTGCAAAATGAAATATATTTTTTTATTTTTTTCTGAAACATGTATCATAGATTTATTCATTCTATGACCATACAAATTGCCTTTAAAAAAACAACTGGATAGAGAACAACAAAAAAAGGCTACCAGTACCATTTTTCATTGGGTAATTTACTGGTAACCACTGAGCTTAATGAAGACAGGACTGGAATTCCTTATTTTTTTTTTTTAATCTCTATCTTCTACTCTTTTTCTTTTAATTAATTATTTTTTTTCAATTAATATGTGATAGTAGAATGCATTTCGATTCTTATTACACATACAAAGCCCATTTTTCATATCTCTGGTTGTATACAAAGTATATTCACACCAATTCGTGTCTCCATACCTGTACTTTGGATAATAATGTCCATCACATTCTACCATCATTTCTAACTCCATGCTCCCTCCCTTCCCTTCCTACCCCTCTGCCCTATCTAGAGTTTGTCTATTCCTCCCATGCTCCTCCTCCCTGCCCCACTATGAATCAGCCTCCTTATATCAGAGAAAACATTCGGCATTTGTTTTTTTGCCAGTCTTGGTTTTTTATTTTGTTGTTGTTACTATCTTAGTGTACCCAGCAGGCTTGTGCCCAAAGTGTTTATCTCTTAGTAGCAACTAATAGTTAATTACATTAATAATACTGATAGTATTAATAGCTACCATTGATTTAATGCTTCCTATGTACCAGACTCTATACCAGGTGAGTCTCCCAAACTAATCAATTAAGCATAAAATAATTTGGCTTATAACAAGTTTCATCAGCAGCAATAGTAGCTAACATTTACTGAGTTCTTACTAAGTACTAGCTGAGACATTAAGCCAATTTCATGGATTGTCTCATCTGCTCATTACTACAACTGTACAGGCAAGCGTTTCATTTTTAATCCTTGAACACAAAAATTTGCAACACAAGAGAGGTTGAGTAAATTATGTAAGATCATATGTCTAGCAAGTAATAGAAATAGGTTTTAAATTCTTAACAGTCTAAATCCACAGCTTTGTGTCCTTTTGAGGGCTTAATACATATTTTAAGAAATTTTATCTGTAAATGTAAGCCAAAGTATCATCCCAGTATTTTGCACTAATTATTTTTAAATGTCTGAAACTCTAGTACATTTTATTGATTTCCTTTGAGATTTGCTTTTATTTTATATTGATAGTGTTTATAATAATTCAGTATCAACACTTAGTTTGTATTGTGATTTTTTTTCTTTTTTTTTATTGGTTGTTCACAACATTACAAAGCTCTTGACATATCATATTTCATACATTAGATTGAAGTGGATTATGAACTCCCAATTTTTACCCCAAATGCAGATTGCAGAATCACGTCGGTTACACATCCACAATTTTACATAATGCCCTATTAGTAACTGTTGTATTCTGCTACCTTTCCTATCTTGTATTGTGATTTAATGGAGAAGAGTGCATGCCTGCCTGGAATTAAACCCATTCTATTTACTGAATGCAATTCTTTTTTCTTTTTTTTAAGGTTATATTTACTCTTCAATTTTTTTTGCATTTTAAAAAATTCTAATTTGTTATATATGACTGCAGAATGCATTATAAATTCATATTACAGATGTACAGCACAATTTTTCATATCTCTGGTTGTATATAAATTATATTCACACCATTTGTGTCTTCATATATGTATTTAGGGTAATGATGTCTATCTCATTCCATCATCTTTTTTACCCCCACTTCTCCTCCTTTCCCCTCCCATCCCTTTGCCTTATCTAGAGTTCAAATCTTCCCAGGCTCCCCCTCCCAACCCCATAATCAATCAGCTTCCTCATATCAGAGAAAACATTTGGCATTTGGTTTTATGGATCACTCACTTAGCATTATATTCTCCAATGCCATCTATTTATCTGTAAATGCCATGATTTTATTCTCTTTTATTGCTGAATAATATTCCATTGTGTATATATACCACATTTTCTTTATCCATTCATTCCTGCGGGACATCTAGGTTGGTTCCACCGTTTAGCATGACTTGTGCTGCTATAAACATTGATGTAGCTGTGTCCCTATGGTATGCTGTTTTTAAGTTATTTGGGTGTAGACCAAGAATAGCTGGATCAAACGGTGATTCCACTCTCAGTCTTCCAAAGAATCTCTATACTGCTTTCCAGATTGGCTGCACAATTTGCAGTCCTACCAGCAATGTATGTGTGTGCCTTTTCCCCACATCCTCGCCAACACTTTGTGTTCTTAATAGCTGCCATTTTGACTACAGTAAGATGAAATCTTAGAGTAGTTTTGATTTGCAATTCTATAATTGCTAGAGATGTTGAACATTTTTTTCATGTTGATTGATTGTATATCATCTTCTGAGAATTGTCTGTTCAGTTTCTTGGACCATTTATTAATTGGGCTGTTTGTTTTTTTGGCGTTTAGCTTTTTGAGTTCTTTATATACCATAGAGATTAGTGCTCTGATGTGCAAGTGGTAAAAATTTGCTCTCAAGATATAGGCTCTCTATTCACCTCACTGATGGTTTCTTTGGTGGAGAAGAAGCTTTTTAGTTTGAATCCATCCCATTTATTTATTTGTGAATTTAATTCTTATGCTATAGGAGTCTTATTAATGAAGTTGAGACCTGATCGACATGATGGTGGAGATTTGGACCTACTTTTTCTTCTAATAGACGCAGTGTCTCTGGTTTAATTCCTAGATCCTTGATCCACTTTGAGTTGAGTTTTGTGCATGGTGAGAGATAGGGGTTTAATTTCATTTTGTTGCATATGGATTTCCAGTTTTCCCAGCACCATTTATTGAGGCTATCTTTTCTCCAATGTATGTTTTTGGCATCTTTGTCTAATATAAGATAACTGTAGTTATGTAGGATAGTCTCTGTGTCCTCTATTCTGTACTGTTGGTCTACCAGTCTATTTTGTAGCCAATTCCATGCTGTTTTTCTTACTATTGCTCTGTAGTATAGTTAAGGTCTGGTATAGTGATGCCACCTGCTTCATTCTTCCTGCTAAGGATTCCTTTAGCTATTCTGGGTCTCTTATTTTTCAAGATGAATTTCCTGACTATTTTTCGCATTTCTATGAGAAATGTCATTGGGATTTTGATTGGAATTACATTAAATCTTTGCATAATTTCATAATGCTTTTGCTAATATGGCCATTGTGCTAATATTTGTTTGATAAACATAGATGCTCCATTATTTGGGGCATATATATTTATAATAGTTTTGTCTTGTTGGTGTATGGTTCCCTTGAGAAGTATGAAATATCCTTCTTTGTCCCTTTGTTTAACTTCAGTTTAAAGTCTACTTTATTTGATATGAGGATGGAAACCCCAGCTTGCTTTCCACAGTCCATGTTAGTGGTATGATTTTTCCCAATCTTTCACCTTCCGTCTGTGTATGTCTTCTCCTATGAAATGGCTCTCATGGAGGCAGCATATTGTTGGGTCTTTTTATTTTTTATCCAATCAGCTAGCCTATGACTTTTGATTTATAATTTTAGGCCATTAACATTCAGGGTTATTATTGAGACATGATTTGTATTCCCAGCCATTTTTGCTGATTTTTGTTACTTAACTTGACTTGGTTTCTCTTTTGATTAGCTTTTTCTTTAGTGTAATACCTCCCTCTGCTGATTTTCATTATTGTTTTTCATTTCCTCTTCATGGAATATTTTGCCAAGGATGTAGTGCAGGTTTTCTAGCTGTAAATTCTTTTAACTTTTATCGTGGAAGGTTTTTATTTCTTCATCAAATCGAAAGCTTAATTTTTCTGGATATAAGATTCTTAGTTGGCATCCATTTTTTTTCAGAGGTTGATATATATTGTTCTAGGATCTTCTAGCTTTCAGGGTCTGGGTTGAAAACTTTGTGCATATCCTAATTGGTTCCCCCTAAATGTAATTTGATTCCTTCCTCTCATGGCTTTTAATATTTTCTCCTTATTCTATATGTTAGGCATTTTCATTAAAATGTGCTTTGGTGGGGGTCTGTTGTGATTTTGTTCATTTGGTGTCCTGTAAGCCTCTTTAATTTAGTTTACCAATTTGTTCTTTATGTT